GTATGGTCTTGTGTTCTTTGCTTTTCTTTTTTTTAAATCCCTGAAGACCTCAGTCCCAGCCTCTGTGCTCTGGACCACCCCCTCATCCTTTGCTATCATTTGATGCTGCTTGTAAGAACTCTTTTTCGAGCTTCCTAAAGGTGTGTATGGTGCATTTTTGCAACATTAGAGAAGGAGAGGCAGCCGTTTTGCTGAAATCAAGTCTGTCGCCCTCCAACAAGAAAGTGGCATTTCGGTGCCAGGCAGGTATCCTAAATGAACAGCGTGGGCTGGGAGAGTTGAACACCCTCCCCTCCAGAGAGGCAGCTGTCCTCCAGGCCCAGCCAACTCGTGCCTCCCAGGAATGTGGGTCCAGATTTCCAAACCTTCTGATTCTTTAAGAGCAACTTGAAACCTGGTGGGTTGTTTTTTTTTCATGTGCAATGTCCCTATTTTTAAAAAGTTGGCTCAGTTATTTTTAAAACATTATGTAGGCCAACAAAACATGTCTGTGGGGCCGCTGGTTTGTTAGTTTTGTCTTTAAAGCAAGATCATTGTTCTCTCACTGTATCTCGCCTGCTATCTTGCCGTTGGCTAGCGCACTTCCTGGGACCGCCACTGAGAGCCTTAGTACCACAGAGTTTAGTGACCCAGGGATCGGCAGCACGTCACTTACTCTTGAGGCCCTCCTGTATCTTTGCTGGCTGGGACCTCGGCTCTCTCACCCTGCCTGGGAACTCTCCTGCAGCGATGTCCGCCCCCAACCCCCAAATGGCCCCACTTCCGCGTGGCCGGAGACAACCTAGTGAGTCCTACCTCCTGTTTTTGTCTGACATGACTTTTCTCCCAGTCCATGTCACTTGACCCGTTCAGGGGCATCCGGGTTCGAATGGGAAAGCACACAGCCCCTTTTTATGGGTGTCCTTAATGTACTCATGCGGCCACTGGTAGGTGGAGAGCAGGTATGTCATCTGTCATCTTCAAGATGTATCTTGAATCGGGTCCCTCTGAGACCACCCCCCAAGGCAGCCGAGAGAGACTGAGAAACTCCCACTGCTGTCCCTGTGATACATCAGTCTGAGGCCAAAGAAAGTCCATCTCTCAACAGGAGAAATTAATCCCCACATCGAGACGACCAGTTCAGGGGATTTCCCTCCTCGTCTCCAGCAGGGACTGGTTTCACTTTGACCCCCGGGGCCTCCTTTCCAAGAGCAGGGAGCAGAGGTGAGAAGGAAACGACCCCAGCCCCAACCCCACATTGCCCCCCCAGGGGTCTGCTTTTGGCTCCGAACTCTTCCAGTCGTCGTGAGTTACACCCGGAGTGGCTGGGGCCTGCCGCTGCCCCGCGGACAGAGCGTTCAGCGTTCAGCAGTGGGAGGAGTAAGCAGCTCAGGGAGTAGAGGCGGAAATTCAGGCCACTGCCCGGGGTGAGGACCACCATGATGGAGGTGCTCCTGCCTTTTCTCTCTTCTTTTCTCTTCTTGAGTCTCTTAAAGTCCCTGGCTTTTTTTTTCTCTCTCTCTCTAGCATTCTAAATTGACTCTGTGACAGTTTTATTTTTATTTGCTTCATTGGTTGCTTTGCACACACCTTTTTTTTTTTCTTCCCAATGCAAAATGGAATCAAAACACTAACCCGGCCCAGTACTCACTCTTCTCTCCCTCCTCGGGAGGGTGGATGATTGACGCCTTCTCCTGCTCTAGTGCTTTCTGTCTAGAACTCCTCCCTGGGTTTGCATCTCATTTCCTCCCACTATAGTGGAAGCTCATTGCACCTGGTTTTGTTCAGACTCTAGACACAGACAGAGAACAACTGAAGAGAAGCGATTTCATAAAATCCAGAATCTTCGCAGGATTGCTGCATGCAGCCACGTGGGCTGTGCCAGTCCCGCCCAGTCCAGGTCAGGCGAGCCTCCAGGGTTGTGCCCTAGCAGACTGGGCTCCCTGGAATCCAGGACAGAAGTGGCCATCCTGTTAAGTGTGTTCTACTGTGTTCACACACTGACAGCACCTGCAAACCATGTCAAGGGCACCTGAGAAGGTTAAGGACCCTCGTGGACAGGGCAGGGATGTAATTTTCTGTAGGGTGCTGCCAGACTGAATTAAGTTAACAGAGTTCCCCATTCAGAATGTGACGTGAAAACAGTTGTCATGGAAGGCGATTTTCAACTCAAGTTAGCCCACTTCCTTGTCTTGAGCTTCAGGGACAAAGGAACCTTGCAGCCATCTGATTTTGACAGTGAGATCACCCTGAGTTTAAGTCGGGCTGATGCTGCGTGGAGCCTTGGACGTATCGTGAGTGAGCACCCAACACGGGTCCACATTGGCTGTGTCAGGAATCTTAGTTTTCACGGAAAAAATGAGTGTGTAAGAGGCAAAGAACAGAACAGAGATGTTCACCACCTTTAAGACAGTTCATTTATGAATGGAGCTTCTATAAACAAATATAAGATAGCAAGATATTATATTCACAATGTGTATGTATGTCAAATCATCACACAGTACACTTTAAATATCTTACAATTTTCTGTGTTGATTATACCTCAATAAAGCTGAAAAGGAAAAAACAAAAAAAGAAAACCAGCAGGAGACTCCAGAGAAAGACAAATCCTTGAGCTTCATTCATTGTGTTCAGATCCATTTGCTGTAATCCATAGCGGTGGCCTGTGAATCATTCTCGTGCCGTTTTCTTCCCCCATAATGTTCCAGCTTTTAAAGTCATTTTTTCACATTTCCTGTAAATAATGGATAATCATTTTTTTATTTTATTTTTAAGTGCTGTTTTAACAATGTGGATAGACCATAAATGTACTTGCTGAATTCATTCATTTTTAACAAGCCAATAAAGTTTTATAATTCATCGCCATGTGTCTCGCATTCTCTATAGGGCCTTGTATATTTCCCTCCCTTCGTCAAACACACACCCACCCTGTGTGTCATTGGTGGTGTCCAAGACTATAGGTGTTAGAGGAAAGAGTGTGAGAAATATCACTGGGAGTTTGGTGGGAGTCCCAAACCCACTGTAGATCCTGGAATAAATCTCTTCTATAAAGAGGACTTTTAAAATTTCCATCAGTGTGAATTATACATTTATTGTTTACTGATTCTTGCATCAGATATGTTTTCATTGGTTAAAAGACAGTCCAAAAAAAAAAAACCCAACAAAAACGTCCTTTGGTATTTTAAAAACTTGGAATGAGTGAGCAGGAGGTACACTCAGTGCTCTGTTCTACGTGACTTTGTGATCAAATGAACATGATGACTTGTGCTTTATGGAAGGGGGAGAGAGAGGAAGACAGGTGGCCATGGAGATAAGATACCATCAAACTTTAACTGTTATCAGGTGCCCGTACTTCACATCCCCTTTGTCTCTGTTTCCTGCCTGGCCACAGTGTCCCTCCCTCAGTTTCCCCTTTTCGGATGGGACCTAAAAGCTGGGTTCCCAGCTCTGATTCATTTGAGACTGCTTTCCCCTTCTTGTAACCCTGCAAGGGTTCTGCTCCAAATCCAAGACTTAGGAATTGGACAAACAATGTGACGTGATGTCTTATTGAGCCAAGTACGTGGACCCTCTCCAAACAGCCTGCTTATTTAGTGCTGGTGCCTAGTGCTTTTTCCTAAACGGCCTTTTAAATCTGCTGAGTTGAGAACAGATTTCATTGTCCCTTTGAAAATTATCTAATAATTGAGGCAGTAGGCACTGGACTCTAACTAGGCAGGCTTGAATCCCAGCTCTGTTCACAAGCTCAGTGACCTTGGGAAAGTTATTTTACCACTTCATTCCTCAGGAGATGATGCTAACAGTGACAGTGCCCCCACCCCACTGGGCTCTTATGAGCATTAAATATGAGGGTGTTTGTGGGAGGGCCACTCAGCATCACTGATAAAAATGCCTGGAAGGACTTGGGTTGACACTGTGCTTGGGTGTGCCTCAGGAAATGCCCTCGAATCACAGACTCGCTTGCATGTATTGGTCATATGTCAGTTGCATGGCTGCAAACCACGGCGTCCAAATGAAGGAATACTTCCCTCCCTGCATCATTCTGGACGTGGTCCAAACAGTGAAGGCCACTTCGGAGCTTTCTCGGGAGTAATCGTGATTCTCCTACATTC